CCCCAAAACCCCAAAACCCCAAAACCCCAAAACCCCGCTACGTGCTTCATTAGTTGAATCTTCCAATTTTTAACCAAAAATAAATAAAATGAGACCGACCAACTCAAACCTCAAGGGAATGTGAAAGGGAAGAAAAGAGAACAGAAAGTATGTCCTTTGGCGGGTTGCTTGACGGGAGTTATGCCAAATGGATGTTCTGTATTTAATCTACTTTGGATTGACAGACGAACGGGTTAAAACACATTATGTTTCTTTCCCTTTGAGTACTGAAGCGCAAAAAAATAACTTCAAAATTATGGCTAAGCTGAATCCTCAGTTTTATTGGTTGAGTTTTATTGATTTACCGAGCATTAAACAAAGAAAAACACGCTTTCTTTATATGAATTACTGCACAAAGGTTCTGACCCAAATGAAAGGAAGCACACTGAGAGATCTTATAATTGGAGAAAGTTGTAAAGTTTTAGACAACTTTAGCTTTTATGCCAGAAGTGTGCTAAGACTTGCTCCAAGAGCAGTAAGGTTAATTCACATAAAGAACTTCAAAATATCACACAAGCATTTTGGAAGGATCCTAATGTCATGAGACAACACCGAGACATTGTGACTCAGCAGTTGACAAGTTAATGTTGACAATTTGGACTACCTTAACCATGTAAGAGACACAAAAGGTGCCCGTCCATCGATTAAGCATATCAATCTAGAATTTAACACATTCATTCAGCCTGAAGAAGATAATGAAAAATTAGATGGATTGATGCAAAAGATTGCTGAGTCCAGGTTGAACACTTATTTACTCACTGTGAAAATTCGACCTAGGATAAGAAGAATGGCTGGAAACAAACACTTGTTAAAGGAAGAGTACAAAGTTGGGAATTTTAATGTGACTATTTCATATCTTCCCTTATTAGCTTAATGCCTTTATTTGACTAATTCCACCACAAATAAAATATTTCAACATACTCCTCCCACCAAGGGGTTTTGGGGTTTTGGGGTTTTGGGGTTTTGGGGTTTTGGGG